CCTGCTATGTTATGCCCCCTTCAATAGAGCCGCTCGCGGTGGATTGGTGAGCTGCGTGCGGCTCGGGAGACGCCGGTTGGCCACCGCCGCTTTCAACGATCTGGCCAACCTCCTTGAAACCTTTCACAAAACTTGATTAGTTGAGCGAGCGAGTGCGTGCAATCGCCATGCTGTGCGGTGGCATCCTCGCCGGGCCGTGTTGTAGCTCCTGACGGTCATCAGCGACGGCAACAGCAGCATGCGGCACCTGTTTGCACAGAGCCACAGCTGCAGGTGTGGGTTGTGGTGAAGACCCCAGCGGCGGAGGTTGGTCTGGAACCTGTCCAGCGAGGCCGCCACTGGCTCGCGTGGTAGGTTGGAGTCACGTGGGCACACTGTAGGATCCCCGATGAGGAACTGGTTTTGGTCTTTGGGACTCCTTTTTTTTGGCCAGTCTTAAAAGTGTAATAAGCTTGACCCTTTCCGGTAAGGATACGGGGAGGTGTTCAGATGTTCAAACACCAAATAGACACCCACTATCACAGGGCATCACGTCTGCATGAACCACACATCATGCTTGTGATGGGTGTCTATTTCATAGCCAGGGCTTGTTCCCCTCCGCCTGATCGCGCAGCTGCTACACATCACCTCCAATATCTGCACTGGCAAAATCCCACCATCTGCTCTTAGACCCACATAGAGACTCGTAGACTCAAACAGAGACACATGTGCAGGCTCGCACAAAGACCCACATACACACAGACCCACAGACTCATACAGAGACCCACAGACTCACAAGAAGACCCACAGACTCGCGCAGAGACCCACAGACTCACGCAGAGACCCACAGACTCACAAGCAGACCCACAGACTCACAGACTCACAATGAGACCCACAGACTCGCGCAGAGACCCACAGACTCACGCAGAGACCCACAGACTCACAAGTAGACCCACAGACTCGCGCAGAGACGCACAGACTCACGCAGAGACGCACAGACTCGCGCAGAGACCCACAGACTCGCGCAGATACCTATAGATCTGCCCTAACAGTCCCCCACCATCTCTTATATTTTAATTATAAAATAAATACGCAGACTATATACAGTAAAACCTTGGATTGCGAGTAACTTGGTCTGCGAGTGTTTTGCAAGACGAGCAAATTTTTGTTAATAAATATTAATTTGATAAACGAGCGAGGTCTTGCAATACTAGTAGTGCGTGTATACGCTTTGTCTGCCGAGCGTCACGTGATCACAACTGATATACGAGTGCTTTGATATACGAGTGCTTTGGATTGCAAACATGTTTCCGGAACGAATTATGCTCGCAATCCAAGGTTTTACTGTATATGGTATCTCCTTCGCATAGAAAATAAAAAAAGTATTATAAACAGTTAAGCCAAGGAATAAAAATCATATACTGCGTTTTTATATTTTATTTATTCATTTTTATTTAGTGACTTGTTTACCTTTTCTCTATTTGGCACTCCGTGTTTTTTTGTTATCGTTTGTTGTAACTCGCTGACCAAGTGCCCCTACAAAACATCTGGGAGTAAAGAGCTTCATAGCTTATCGGATTCCTCTTTCAGTCTAAATAAAGATTCTGAGTCTCATAATTAGTGCACTTGGTTTTTGTGGCATTTTTTTCAAGAAGCGCTGTTCCACAGTGGCGCTGTGTTTCAAAGTGGCGCTGTGTTTCACAGACGGTGGCGCTATTTTTCAGTCTGGAGTAGTGTTGCAGTCGGTAGCGATGTTGCTATGCGTTTTGCCAATTGCGTAAATCTGTGGTGTCATTTTTATTCAATTTGGCAACATTTGGACCTTGCCGCAGACACGCAATAATTACAACGTTACGACATCACGAACGTGTCCGCTGATAAAACAGACGGTGCACAGTGACTGCGGTTAATACAAGGCAGTGGCGAGATGTTAACTACCTCGTCTGACGCCTGCTGTACGTCTTATCTCCCCGGGGTCGCCTAGATTTTTCTCCGGGTCCTCCGGTTTTTCCTTCCACATTTAGAATCAACGTGCATTTAGAGTATTTGGCTGATAGAAATTTCCACGCGATAAGCCACTTCGTTGATCTATTATTTGTGGCCAGGTCACTTCTGAAAAAGAGCTACATAGCTCAGTGAGCCTTCCCTGGTGTTTTTTTAATGTATATTTTGTTGTAATACACCCGTAGTATTAACCAGGGCGACCTGAAGGATTTGAACCGCGGACCTCTGCGACCTTCACTTTGCACCGCAACGAGCGGCTAACGTGCAGTTGCTCGCTCCTCCGTCATGGCCAAGAGAGGGAACACCAGCGGTGATGATGATGATGTCAATAGAGCCTGCATGCGGTGTGAGTGCACTAGTGGCCACGGGAGGAAATGACAGGGGAGTCAGCCGACAGCATGAGTGCACTAGTGGCCACTGGAGGTAATGACAGGGGAGTCAGCCTCCAGTATGAGTGCACTAGTGGCCACGGAAGGTAATGACAGGGGAGTCAACCTACAGTATGAGTGCACTAGTGGCCACGGGAGGTAATGACAGGGAAGTCAGCCTCCAGTATGAGTGCACTAGTGGCCAAGGAAGGTAATGACAGGGGAGTCAGCCGACAGTGTGAGTGCACTAGTGGCCACGGGAGGTAATGACAGGGGAGTCAGCCTACAGTATGAGTGCACTAGTGGCCACGGGAGGTAATGACAGGGGAGTCAGCCTACAGTGTGAGTGCACTAGTGGCCACGGAAGGTAATGACAGGGGAGTCAGCCGACAGTGTGAGTGCACTAGTGGCCACGGGAGGTAATGACAGGGGAGTCAGCCTACAGTATGAGTGCACTAGTGGCCACGGGAGGTAATGACAGGGGAGTCAGCCTACAGTATGAGTGCACTAGTGGCCAAGGAAGGTAATGACAGGGGAGTCAGCCGACAGTGTGAGTGCACTAGTGGCCACGGAAGGTAATGACAGGGGAGTCAGCCGACAGTGTGAGTGCACTAGTGGCCACGGAAGGTAATTACAGGGGAGTCAGCCGACAGTGTGAGTGCACTAGTGGCCACGGGAGGTAATGACAGGGGAGTCAGCCTACAGTATGAGTGCACTAGTGGCCACGGGAGGTAATGACAGGGGAGTCAGCCTACAGTATGAGTGCACTAGTGGCCAAGGAAGGTAATGACAGGGGAGTCAGCCGACAGTGTGAGTGCACTAGTGGCCACGGAAGGTAATTACAGGGGAGTCAGCCTCCAGTATGAGTGCACTAGTGGCCACGGGAGGTAATGACAGGGGAGTCAGCCTACAGTGTGAGTGCACTAGTGGCCACGGAAGGTAATGACAGGGGAGTCAGCCGACTGTGAGTGCACTAGTGGCCACGGGAGGTAATGACAGGGGAGTCAGCCTACAGTATGAGTGCACTAGTGGCCAAGGAAGGTAATGACAGGGGAGTCAGCCGACAGTGTGAGTGCACTAGTGGCCACGGAAGGTAATTACAGGGGAGTCAGCCTCCAGTATGAGTGCACTAGTGGCCACGGGAGGTAATGACAGCGTTATCGGTTGTGAGTGCGAAGGGACCGGTGGCTACGGGAATGTTCGAGAAGGGAGCCGTGGTCAGGCGACGGTGGAGTCTGCCGGTAGAGCGAGCGTCCAGAGTCGGCGAGAAGGCTCGAGAAAGGGGGCGTGGCCTCGTGTCGGTATATAAAAGGGAGGTGCACGGGAGACTCGGGGCTGTTGCGGTGGGATCTCCGCCTGATGTCAAGTGAACGTGCCTTCAATGAAGTGCCAATGGGGTGTTCCCCGGTGGCATTGCAGTAAATGGAAGAATCCTTTGGGAAATCTCGATTGAATGTTGTAGTCTTGACGGCGAAGGTGCGATTGTTCGGAATTGATAGTAATGCTGTAATTACGCGGAATGGAAGTGATAGTGATGCTGCAGGTGAATGTTATATTGATAGGAATACCACAATGATATGATGGTGTAGTGTAGATTTTAATGCCGCAATTTAATTTCGGGGAATTGACGGTGGTGCTGTAATTAAATGTTGCAGTATTGACAAATGATTTGTGCACAAGCACAGTTAACAAACAGGCTCGACACTCGTCAATAATGGCCCCGTGTGGCCTTAAAAATAACACAAAACATGCAGTCGGCGACGCTTGGTGCATCGACCGAAACGTCGCCGATTATTACCGTTGGAGAGCCCCCCTCACGCCCCTCCCTCAATCACGTATGCCCCTCCCACCATCCCCCCTACGCCCCTCCCCCCCATCCTCCGTACGGGACGCCCGTCCCCCCCACTCCCCTCCCCATCGCGTGACGTCACGTCACCTGACGCCCGCTCTATAAAAGTGGAGCCGTAGCATCGTCGCTGGGACTCACTTCGAGACTCATCCTGAGACTCACTCTGAGACTCACCCTGAGACTTACCCTGAGACTCACCCTCTCCTGGACTAACTCCGAGACTCTTCTCTGCCGTATCATCACGGCACCCACCCAGTCGCTCGCCCTTGCACATTTGACTCATGCATCGTCACGTGTTGTGAATGAGGTGTGACGTCATAGCACGCGTTAACGGGGAGGGTAGGCTTGGGAATCGCGAGAGTTTGAGTGCGTAGGGAGGGATCACAAGTCGTTATCGTAACATTAAATAGGAATCACTGTATTGAACAACACGAATCAACGGAAGTGACCGGTTAAAGAAACGAGTCGTCATGAGTTTTGCCCTAAAAGTTTTAAAGCAATTTTGTAAAAAAAAAAAAGCCCGCGTGAATGTATTGCAAATGACGCAATCAATGAATGGGGAAAATGTTATATACATCACAAACGGGTTGCACACGGTAAAATGTTCGACGCCAGAAGCTAACAGGCAAGAGGCAAATTGATCGATCCAAAGACATGCCCCTAAGTGGCCTGTGAATAGCTGAAGCAATGGTGCATTGCAGTGGCGGCTCCTGCAAAACCTCTCAGGGGGGGCAAATGTCTGGATGATTGATAAGGATAAGGTCCACCCATGCAATGAATAAATTAACAGCTTAAGCATGTAAAGGCAACTTCACTTCTTTAATATTAATGAAAAATAAAGTGACTCTTACAATACATCTTGTTTGTTTATATACTCACTATTAAAACAAACCACTCAAGTTTATTTTATTAAAGATTCCACTAGGTGCGATAAATGATATTGTTGGATAAAACGTGCTTACGTTAGCACGTATGATGACGTAAGCACGTTAGTGCATGCCCTCCCGGAAGCCATAGAGAATGCATTGCAGCGCCCCCGTTCGAAAAAAAACATCTTTGAATGTAAGTCTATGGGGCCACTCGGGGCGATTCTCAGCCGTAGTGAAATCGCCCAAAAAGAGGCGGTACTCCACAGAACGTGACATGACGCTGATTGGACTATATCCAGAGGCTGACAGTGACGGCTAGCGTGACTCTGTGGTTGAATGACATTGGTGGTGCGTCGCCCAATCGCCCTAATGAAGAAACCGCCCCTGGTGCATTGTAAATAACTACGCACGAATACGCAAGAACCCTTCCGTCAATCCACTGCTGGATGAGGGCCACGCCCATACCGAACGAGTCGGCAGGAGTTCGTTTAACGGTACTTCACCTGCGCTGGTTAGCGCGGGTTTGGCGAAGGTAGGCAACGTAGACGCGGGAGCATATCGGTAGGGTACAATTCCGATTGTCATCATTTGCACAGACCAAGCCAGTACAGTACTTGCTTCTCAGCACCAGGTCTGTTATCAAAACTGTGCAGGTCACTGCGGTACCTAAACGTAACAATCTTTATTTTACAAAGCGTCCCCCCCGCCCCTCTCTCTCTCTCTGAAAATTAGCTCAAAATTTGGTCAAATATTGCTCGTATTTTAACTAAAGCCTGCCTGCCACGAGTCTCCTAATCCATTCAATGTCACACCCCCAATGCTTTTTTTATTATGTACATACTGTCAGAAAGCGATGGCATTGTACAACTAGCACGGGCGCATCGCTTCGTAAATATTTTGAAGCAAAAAATATCATTTTTTTGATTCGCAATGAACGAACTAACAAAATCAGACAAATTGCTGTCCTTGGTGCTGACGTTAGGAAAAACCGTCACTTTTTTCAAATTTTCTTGCTGCGGATTTCACACCTGATGATGATTTGCTTGTGTTGCAGTCAAAACGTCGTTCGAATTTTTATTGTCTTATATTATTTTATTATCTCCCTTCTACGTGACTTTACCGAAAGAACCAAGAATAAAAATCACCCCTGTTTGTCAGCGACGACGCCGCACGACGGCCCAGCCTCCTCGGGCCTCGGGGGCCCAAAACGCTACTGGTGTCCGCCATCATCGTTGATCCACTTCAAAACTTCGTCCAACTGGTCCACATCCATCATCTCGTTGCTCAGGGGGTCGGAGATCTGTAACCTAACGGTGGAGCCGTCCAACGAGGAGGCCCCGCCCTGCCGGGCAATGTCCACCAGCAGGCGGGCCAAATTGTGCTGCACCTGACGGGCGGGGTGGGGAGGGGAGGCAGAACAGGATGAAACATTCGACTTACGAGATGTTAACTTCCTTGCCGGGTATACAGGAGGTTGGGGATTTGATCCCGACCCTGATGCCTGTATATTTGGATACTGCGTGTCTCTGTCCCCGTGGTCGTGTGGCTTTTTCTCCGGGTTCTCCATTTTTTCGTTCACATTTAGAAACGTGCGTTGAAGAGTACTTGGCTGCTATAAATTTCCACGTGATAAGCCACTTCATTGGGCCATCATTTATGGCCAGGTCACCTCTGAAAAATAGCTCTATAGCTCAGTGAGCCTTATCTGGTCAAATAAAATATAGTTTAGTTTTCTATTTCCGCTACCCGCGTTCGCCCGTCCACGCACATGATTTCCTCGTTATTCACGAACTTTCTGCCCGCGATTTTGACTACCCACATCTGGAACTCTGACACGGCTGCATGCAAAGGAGATAGAGAGATGGAAAAATTGACAAAGGTAGCAACATTCTTTGAACCGGAGTTCGACAAGGACCTCCGATTAAGCACGGTTGGGGCTATGTGCGGTGCGAAAAACGTTCAGCGTACGTGCATACACACAAAGCATCACCATGGCCAACGCCTTTGTTTTAACAAAACCAATGAATGGGGAAACGTTACCTGCACCATAATCAGTTTCTCAGCCATCTTCCCGTTGGGCCAATCTTGCCCGAAGCACAGAAGGATCTCAAACGACGGCTGAGGCCTTGGAGGTGAACCTTTCATAAACTGGATCAAGTCTGCACATACGCACAAGCACAGACACAAAGACACAAAGATGCCCTCCGTATAGCCTCAACAGACATTTGGGGAAAGTGCTGTTTGCTTATCAGCGGGCGGGCGGGCAAGCTGGCGGGCAAGTGGGTGGGTGGCTATGCGGGTGGGCAAGTGGGCGGGCAGGCAAGCGGGCGAGCAAGCGGGCGAGCAAGCGGGCGGGTGGGCGGAGCTGACCTTGCACGAACGTTGCAACGTTGAAGAGGCAGACGCGCTCGCCGCGGGGCAACTTGACGGACGCGGCGTGGCGTGGCGTGCTGGGCCCCGACCAGTACACGCGGCTGAGCGCGTGGCGCGTCGCGTACAGGCCGTGGCGGTCCACCTCCAGCACCACGCCGCCCACGTCTGCCGATATGCGCGCCAGCGGCTCCAGGATTCGCGCCGTCAAGCGCCGCTGCTCGTCGTAGCCCACGGGCGGCGGCAGCGAGATGACGGCCATGTCCTGCGCGCAAGCGACGAGATCGTCAAAGCGGGTTTCACAATTTTTTATTGTCAGTCATCGTCGATCACCGCCATCGTCGGCACTTAGCCGGGAGGCGGTGGTGGTGGCGGCTACGCTGCTGCACGTGGCCGCTTCCTGTCATCGGAACGGGCATCGGAAGAAAAACCGGATGACGCACGCGTGCGTGGGTACACGTACGTCATTGGAACGTCAAAAAGGGTGAATCAAACGTGGAAAAACCTTTGGACCGTGACGCCGGCACACGCGCAAGCCTCCTACAATTTTTTTTCGAATTACGTCACGGGAACTTCAGTGTCCCCCCCCACCCACCCCCCCGTGAAGCGGACAGGGAATCTAATATCATCATTAATGCACCCACGGTATTAACCAGGGTGACCACCGTGGAACCTTCTGATGCGTTCTATTCCTCGGTTGACACTCGTTTTACGCAGCCAGACAAATCCTGCCCAGGGCCGCTCACTTTATTTACGTTTTCAATGTTATTAACCTGCGTTACATAAACTAAACTGAGCTATGAAGCTGTTTATCAGAAGCGACCTGCCAACGCCAATGATATCCCAACAAAGTTGACTTATCACGTGGAAATTTATATCGGCCAAATACTCCAAAACGTGTGATGTTGATTCGAAATCCACGTGGTCCTCTTTCTATTTGTGGACAAATATGCTATGGGAATGTAATTAACTCGGAGTGGACTAAACTTTTCACTGCTTTCGTCGACTCATCTACGAGGACAATTCAATGGAATCCACGGGCTGGGACTCGACGAAGCTTCCACCGGTTGTCATGGTCCAGACTGACACTGAACAATGTAAACCACGCCGACTCTACGCTGACGCCGCTGGCTAGCCCTTACCAAGGCCGCATGTAGCACATCTATGCATGTTGAACTTCTTTCGCACCGTACGTATTCAACCGTGCTAATTGGAGGTGTGCGGGGGGACAACAAACTAAACACAAAGAGCAGTTCTAAAAGTAAAACTAGTTTTCAATCTCGATTTAAAAGTGCATCGCTCGAGTGCAATTGTTCCTAACCTGGGGTGCATGCAGCCCCTGGGGGTGCGAGACATGGCAAGTTTCTTTTAGAAGGTAAATCATCGAAAACACAATTATAGCATTGGGCATGTAAGTAACAACTTACTTTTTTCATCAAACCCTATGTATTTATACTGGTAGGAACCTCCTGGTTACACTAGCCCACAGGGGATTATTGTGTCCGTCCGTCGTGCAGGGAGGGGCTGGGTGGGGAGGGAGGGGCTGGGTGGGGAGGGTGGGGCTGGGTGGGGGTGGGTGGGAGGGGTGGGGCTGGGTGGGGAGGGGCTGGTCACTCCGTGGTGCCCTTATAAAACTCAACGTTTAACCTGCTCACGCCGGCTTGTGCCCCCCCCTCACAGTCGGGCATATTTCCTCAAATCTTGTAACTAAATTTGTACCCACTTCCCAATGTAGTATCGACTGCAAACTTGGTATACTTATGTCATATTGATGACAATACTATATTCTATCATTAAAAATAAAACAAAATATTTTTTAACATTATTTTGTTTATTTAATGTTTCGGCTTAGGTCTAATTGTCCACGCTCAACTGACGTTGACTGTAATTGGCCATGGTCCCTTACGTTATGGCAAGCTTCGGGGCCACTTCCTGAAGTCGTGGAGTTCTGCCATTACTAGTACGGTACATTTCAATTAAGCGTGTTTTTTTTTAAGTTTTTTTAAAATATTACTTATTAACATTATAAAAAAACGTTACCAATAGAGAACCAAAGGAGTGCAAGGCTGAAGTAAAGGTTAAGAACCACTGCTCCGGTGACTTCCTAATAGATAGCTTCGTGAATCCCACTCAATATGTAGCCGGCAGGATTTGACGGAGCGTGAGCGCCGGGTACCACGGTTCACCTGCGGTGGTGATGGTACAGAGGATTGTGGGGGATCATGGCAGATGATACAGCGGCTTGTCCCGGTCACCGTCTTAAACACCTCGCTCCCTCTGTAGAGAACCGTGAATTCCAGGTTCGTGACTGCGCGCGCACACGCACACACACACGTACAAAGCACGCGCGCACGACAACGATCGAAGGTTATTGTTTTGCCGGCACGCGTTTGAGGCCGCGTGGAACTGCATCGAAGGCTCGCTTTAGTAGCGGGATGTCGCGGGATGTCGCGACCGATGGAATGCACCACCCGCGCTCCCCTTCGCACCACCGCACACGCGCACACGTGTGAAACTCACGCACACGTGCATGCACACAAAGATCCCCCGCGTAGCCTGTAACAGACTGTAGGGGCAAGTGCTGTTTGCGAGCGCCTATGAAGGCCGGCACAGCACACGAGGGGGTGGGTGGCCAGCGCCACGCCCGGCCGCCTTTGTCTCCCTAGTGGCGATGTTTACACATCGCACCAGGTACTCATTTCAGGCCGAGTCGACCTCGGGGAGGCCCTGGACCGGTTCAAATGATCGTCACTGGGTTGGCCGTGAGCGGGATTCGAACCCGGGTCGCCAGGTTCGTAGCGCAGCGCGCTAACCACTACACTACCATTCAGTTATACACACGCGCGCACACAGACAAACTACAATGCTTGTTCCGTCTTAGCTCAATATTCGGGTTTCGAAGAATCTCCTGGCTCGTGGAGCGAAACGTCGTACATCGTGCCAAACAACGCGCAATACAGCCCGGAAAAAAAAAACAAGTCAAGAGAGATATCACTCCCAAAGTCTTCAGAGTCCTATTCGGGAGAGGCCTGCATTGCTCTGCATTGACTACCGTCTAGTTTGGCCAATTATTACTCTTATTATTTTTGTACAAGTCAGTCCACCGCCACTCGCATTGCCGTTACTCAACGACTGAAGCCACCTGCACGCCAGAGGTCGCAACTGGATACCCGATACTCGTACCCTACCCGATACCCGGCTACCCGTACCCGGCCGGGTACGGGTAGGGACCCTGGTGCGGCCGGGTACGGGTAAGGAATCAAAACCCGTTTGCGACCTCTGCTGCACGCGTCATCACCTTATCCACCACCGCCGCCACCACCAACACCACCACCACCACCGCCGCTACTCCTCACCTGCCATTTGCTGAATCTGGGTGTAGGGGTTGACGGCAGCTACAAACATCTCCGCCTCTGTCACCTCGGATACCGAGTTCACAAAGTCCACGTGCCGGTTTTCAGCAGAAGGCTCCGGGCCGGCCGCTAGCATACGGGAAGAACATCGCAAAGCAATCGCTAACCCTCTTCATCTTTTATGAATATTATTTTTTTAAGTGTTCTCATTACCCCTGCGCCCATCACCAAGTCCATGCCGTTTGTGTGCTTGGTATCAAGTCACGGGGATGACAAATCCACTCGGATCTCTTGCCGAGCAGCGCGACCCTTCGTCTTGCAGAATGGCCCACGTAGACAAATATTGCAGAGCTGCCTCTGAGGTCACTCCACGCGACCTTTGGTCCACTAAGTGGACTCTTTCCAGCCCACCCAGCTTCAATAGATTCGTCATTTTGCCGGTGATTACAAACAGCAGCTCTGTAAAATTATTGCCAAATCGCCTGATGAAGCTGGTTGTGACCAGCAGCGAAACGTCACAGTCCTCTAATTGTACATGTTGGGGGTTTTCTCTCCAACGCACAACCGGTGTGCTGAACTAGTAATGAATTGTAAAGTTTCGTTCACGTGACAAACCTTACTAATTGACGGTGTCGGGCGGTGGCGAGTTAACGACATTTATATTTACGCGATCTAACCCATCAACCTCTGATCACGTCCGTGAGAAGCAACGGGAGAGAGTTCGGCTCACCGCCCAGGCTGTCCATCATCCCGTTGAAGCAGAACGTTGATGTAATCGATCCAGCCCTCTGGGGGAGAACACACGATAACAGCTCAAATCTCAAACGTCTCCTCTTCCACCACTGCCTTCTGGCCATTGGCTATCCATCCACCACAGCCAGACATGACTCAGCTCCTCAATCCCCCCCCCGCCCTCGCACGTGCGTGTGATTTTGCTCCGGGTGCTGCAGATTGCCTACACGTATGCAGAACTTATTTCGCACCATACGTAGCCAACCGTGCTAATCGGAGATTCCTCCCGCGGAGGGGAACCGATCGATTCCAACAACAACAACGACAATAACAGTGCAAGGCTCTCCGATTTGTTTTACGCGCTTTTTCGGCACGATGTCCGTCGTTCCGCTCCGCGTGGCCTGGACCTTCTTCAGGAGCTGAAACGTTGGACTTCATGCCGAATGACACACGGTCATTTGGACGTCCCCCCCCCCTCCGCAAACAACACAGCTTTCACTGTGATTTAAATTTTACCATTTACCAGCTCGCGTAATAGTTTGTGGTACCTTGCAGTCACGAAAACTTCAAATCTAGAATGTTATTATGGTCTTGGGGCCAAATTTTCCGTTCCGTAGGGACGGGTCTCCGATTCGACAACGGTTCGATCTACGGAATGTCGCTTCACCGACAACCTTTCAGGAACGTATTGCGTATACATCGAAGGGATGGATGTCTGTTGTTTCAATTGCACTTTCCTTTTTTTACAATCCATGTAACCTCTTGACGAACGACTCTGTCCTTCGAGCCATTTGTCTGAATTAAGTAAAAGCTCATTTCTCGGTTATCATCCCCGGTTTTTTGTTTTGCCCGCGCATCCACGAAGGCGCCGATTGGCGAACCCACCTCGCTCTCCTGCACGGGGAGATGCGGATTTGGGGCAAATTCAGCAGTCAGATCCTCCAAGTCATCTGCAAAGTAAAGAGAATCGTCAAGGACGTTTGATGGTTTACGAACCTTCCTAAAGCCGCATTGACCAGCGTAGTGAAGTATGGCCCGACCAGCCCTATGACCGACACGACTTGGCGAGGCCTTCATTCGGCAGTGGCCTAGCAAAGGGCTATTTGCTGTGCCGAACCGGAAACCAAACCGTGCTATGCCGTATTCACATCTGAATCTGGCTCGGGGGGCCAAGCAGGGCCAGGCGCAGGGCTAATGATGCATTATGTTGCGAGCGATGTCAGTCAGTACACTGTGAGGACGCGGCGTGTTTAGTTTGTTGTCCCTCCCCGCAACCTCCAATTAGCATGGTTGGCTACGTACGTTGCAAAAGAAGTTCAATATACATACACCTCCGATTTGCACGGTTGGCTACGTACGGTACGACAGAGGTTCAGCATACATTCATACACACCTCCGATTAGTATTGTTTGCTACGTACGGTACAATAGAGGTTCAAGATACTTTCATACACACCTGCGATGAGCACGGTTGGCTACGTACGGTGCGGAAAAAGTTCAACATACATACATCCCGACTCGTTCATTGCGTACGACGTTAGTGGCACGGCTTGGTTTTTGCAGTGGAAAAACTTTTAAACAATTTTTTCTTTTTCCCAGGAAGGCCCACTGAGCTATGTAGCTCTTTTCAGAAGCGATCTGGCCACAAATGATACCTCAACGAAGTGGCTTATCATGTGGGAATTTACAGCAGCCAAATATTCTAAACGCACGTTTCTAAATGTGGAGGGGGAAAAATGGAGAACCCGGCCAAAAAAGCCACACGCAAACTCCAAATATACAGGCATCAGGGTCGGGATCAAACCCGCGACCTCCCGTATACCAGGTGAGGTAGTTAACATCTTGCCACCTTGGCACCCTAAAGTGCCTCGGCAAAGAAGTGGCTAGAGAGACGCCTCGTTCGAGGTCGTCTTGAACTCTGAGTCTTGGAAACTGGAGGGCCACAATCAACCCCATGAGATAGACACTCAGTTGCAGAGAGACACCGATACGCACCTAGCGGGTCCAGCAATGTAGGTGTTGACGCGGTGCTAGTGTGAAACTGGTAGAATGGGCTGCCTTGAGACTGGGACGATGGGCTGGTGTGGAACTGGGAAGATGGGCTTGCTTGAGACTGGGACGATGGGCTGGTGTGGAACTGGGAAGATGGGCTTGCTTGAGACTGGGACGATGGGCTGGTGTGGATCTGGGAAGATGGGCTTGCTTGAGACTGGGACGATGGGCTGGCTTTGCTCTTGGCAGGGCGGGTGCGGTTGTAGAGGCGACGTTGAGACCGCTCGATGCCCTCGGACTTGTAGGTGAACTGCGTGTCGAGGGCACAGCGCAGGCCGTGCTTCCACTTGGCAAAATCCTCGGTGCCCGTGTCCTTGCCGAACACCGTCGCCCATCGCTGCGGGCGCAGAGAAAACCGCGGGGGGAGCAGCAAAATCAGGTGGGGGCCACTTCGTACATTTCCGAACGTGCAAGTTTCAAGTGTGCTCTGCCTAACCGGGGTAAACGAACGTAAACGCGACCAGGATGACGTCTCATCGGATTTCTCCAGGATAACAAAATACACATTTTCTGAGTCTCATTTGCAAGGGTGACCGGGGTAAATTTTTTGTTACAGTTTTCAATTGACGCTTTAGACACTTAAAGAGACGTGGGTGGGGGGGTTCAATCGTTCGTGCGATCGTACGCGAACGGTGGTGTCGCTGTGTCGAGCGGAGTTCAGTGCAGTGGCCTCACCGCTCACAGCCACGCTGGAGCCACTGACGCCACTGTAGGTCACTCCGTCGGGCAGTTCCACAATTTCAGACACTTTTTAAAGATGTGGGTAATCGTTGGTATCATGGTGAGGTTTTTTTTCACTTGGGCATCGTGTGTCAACCGATTAGGACTGTGGTTCACGTTAACAAAATGTTGATTTCTCCAAAGGGATGTATATACGCTCATGAAATACTGCGGTGTCGTTCATTCCTGGACCAAAACACGCACCCTTCTTCGTCTGAATCTGTCGCGTCCGTGCTCTTTTTGATATACAAGGTAATCATTTAATTATGGTTTAAGCGAGGATATGTTGTTTAGCGTGTATATGCTAAAAGGATGGACAATGGATTAAAATAAAATTGAGTATGCGATGTCTTGACGAGAACCATTGCTGCACTGTGCATTGCTGTACATGGGTGTCCAGTTTCATGTGCTCATGAAACTGGACACCCGTGGTAGATCATTGGTGCTTCATCAAAATGTTTGCATTTTGACAGGAACGATTCATCTCACACAAGGCCGAAGTGCTGCTCGTGAAATGTGCCCACCCACTGCGGGTCGACGCTTTATCGTTCATCGCGATGCCATTGCATTGCTGTTCATACACGTTGGGCGCATCGCAATGGGTTCTTCCACGACAAACACGGGGTCGATTTTTAAGTGCCCGGCGACTCGGCTGCAGAGCGAGTGGCTAGCAAAGAGGCGCAAGTTGGTGAGTACGTATCTTGATGCTCGTCTTCGCTGCATCAGCCGTACCTGGATTAAGTCGCAAGCTCCAGGACTCCTGCCCCAGGGGATGCTGAAGCACGAGTGGTCTCTGTCAACCCACGCGAGGCCCAGTTCATTGCGGTCCACCAGTCCCAGCACCCATTCCCGTAGCGTTGGCCTGGCAGCAGCCATGGCTTCCTGCAAACCACGGCAGTGGAAGGAGATTGAAAGAAAAAGAAAAGTAGAAATTTACTTTTAAAATACTTATTTTTAATAAATGTCGGGCTCGGCGACGCACACTTTGGAGGCTAGGGTTGGCGAGCCACCGGGTGATTTGGTCATAAGCCCCGATGACAGGAGTAATTTTAAATAGATTTACCGGCAGTCAGGTTTTATCACGGTTGCGTTAATCGCCAAGCCATATGAATGCTCCGAGTTAATATCCCGCATGAGGGAGGTGATCCTGGCTCACCACTGTGGGCACGACGTGTAGGATTTCCGTCGCTGGCTCAGAATGTCCACGTGATGATAAGCCACCTCCTTCAGCTATAATTTGTGGCCAGGTTGCTCTTGAACAGGAAGCTAATAGCTCAGTGGGCTTTTCCTGGTAAGATTTTAAAAAACATGTTTTATTCGTATACATTATTTTAGCCACGTGTTTACCTTTCCCATACTTTGCACTCCTAACCTGTTTTTTTGTCTTGGTTCTTTCGGTAAAGTCACGTAGAATGGAAATAATAAAATAATAAAAATTAAACATTATTAAATAATTCTCACGACGTTTCGGCCACAACGCAAGCAGCAGTCCTCAGGTGAAGAACAAGTCTGTCGATAAGACAAGAGTCTGAATGACACGTCCTGGGCTTGGAGCGTTTATTTAAGCTGGGAGGGAGGAGGAAGAGCGCCTTGACAAAATAATTTGCATATCAAGAGGAATTTTAGCATATTTATGTAATATTACACTATGTATTATTCTATCCACCCTACTGCACACCACACTGCTGCACATTTTTTTTGTATTGTTTGTTGTTGTAACTTTCTGAACCGCCCCTAGTGGACATCTGTGAAGAGGAGCTTCAGAGCTCATCGGATTCCTCTTGCAGCCTAAATAAAGATTCTCATTGTGAGTAACGTCAGTGTGCAGCAGGGAGACACCGAGAACTTTCACTTGGGTGTACGATCACTGCTTACGAAGCTCAGGGGAAATTTGTGGGAGGCTCAACCCGGACACATGGTGAGCTGGCAACCAACTTCCTCTGTTAGCACCTCCCACTTTTACATTGCCCCGCCCACTACTCAGGATAGAATAATGACAACAATGTTAGTTGTATCTTAACAGTATCGTCATCGTTCACCGCATCGCATGCTTTCAGATGTGCTTCTGTGGCCCTCTGGAATGCTCTTCCTTCCGATATCAGGAAGCCACTGGAGCTATGCACTTTTAAATCTAACTAATTTGTTTACAACTGCTTTTTGTGTTTAGTTTGTTTTCCTTTCCCCGCACCTCTGATAAGGTTGGCTACGTACGGTGCGAAAGAAGTTCAACATACATACGTCGTTTGTGCAAATTGCATCTCTCACATTCGCCGAGGAAACACAGCTCTGTATGGCAGCAGCCAGGAAGTGAGGAGCCAGGAGATACCAAACGTTACCCAGGCTCTGCAGTCCTCTATATATTAAGATGGTTTAACTCAATGAATGAGTGTTATAATACGTGAGTGGAAATCACGGTAGGCTTGTCTATTGCCAAACCAGGGCGTTTGGTAGCTTTATATCAACATTTTGGTAATGCACTTCCCCTGTACTGTACATCCTATGTGGTCGTTTTTTTTATTTTAAGCAGTGGGAACTGGTGTTCATATGTAAGCGATCTTTGCGAAACACTGCCACGCACAGTTAATGTGTGTTCTTGGGTCAGGTTCGCCAATAAGACGTCATCAATGCTAGGGGCTGCCACACTATTTGTAAACATTGTTGGGTTGGACAGCACGATGACGATAAAGGGGGGTGTTTTCAAATGTGTGTATTGTGTCGGGGGACCGCACGTCATGGGGCCTAAGCCACCAGTGGCCCACGAGCCTAGCAATGAAGAACACTGGGTGGGTTCAGCTCACCAACACGCACCATGACATACAGACGTCATCGGTCGGGAGTGGGGGGCGGACGGTGAGGGGGGGGGTGGAAGACTAGGGGCTAAATAAAATGTATTTTCGCCAATCCACACTGACCAGCGTGGTGAATTATGGTCAAACAAGCTCCAAGACAGGCCTTCGTCCAATAACAGACTGCCAAATAAATTAAAATCATATTTAAACGAACAATAGCTGGTGCCTGAACGTGCTATATGGAAAAAATACAAACATTGGACGGGAGACCATTTAACCATGGTAAGTCTCACTGAGGAGTCAACAATCTTTTTGCAGAAGGGTCCTGCTAAATTGAGATGTTTGGCAAATTCCAATAATTACCAGTTTTTGGATTTTCGTGTGGAGCAAAGCAGAGAAGAAGAAAAAACCACCACCCACTCATAGGAGGGAGTGACACTCCAAGCACCGCACGGGTAGATCTAAGAATCCATTGCTACACACACATCTCCTGACCACACTTGGCAGCCCCGCCCCAAAAACCCTACAGCTCCCACTAACCCACTGCATGCAGGAACGCGTGCGTGGATAACAGTTCACCGTAACAGCGAAGCAGCGGTGTTGCACAGGGGTTAGCGAAGGGCGCTATGACCTCGGCCAACCCTGGGTTCTATTTCCGGGCACGATCGACTGCCAGTGGCGAGTGATCTCAACTTTTCCTGGGCTTTCCTCCGTCACCTACCGGCAGTGACCAGCGTGGTAAACAGGGCCGTATTATCCAATAGGCCACAGTATTACGCACTGTGCCAAGGACCTACGAAAAAAATTGGGAATTAATGAATTTGAAATGATTGCAGTAGTCTTACGTTCTAAAGTATGAGTTGGATCTCGTTTAATTTTCATATAGGTACTTTCCTCCAGTAAATCTTTAATTGTATAATCATAATCCGCTCATGACATCACTACAGTTGTGCAGCCTTTATCAGCCGCCAGAATATTGATATCTTTATTTCATAAAACAATTACAATACCATATATCGCGGGAGTAACTGACAAATTAGCTAGAGTTTTGGAAAAGAAAAACATCTAAGTAATATTTGGCACGGTACACAAAATTCTAAAATTAGTATGTTGTACTAAAGCTGAATTGCCTAAGTTATTAACAGAGGATGTGTATCGGATCAATTTCTTATGTGGCAGTTGCTATATTAGACAGACGTGGCGTAACATTAGCGTATGACTAAAATAACACCAAAGAAATATTAAATATACTCTCAAACACAACTGCCGGCAGTTGCAAAACAAGCTTGCCAACAAGGACACTGAATTGATTTTATAACGTTGAAGCGTTGTTTAAAACGAATCATTACTGGCCGAGACTAATTCGAGAATCTATTGAAATTGAGATAAATACAAATAAGTTTAACCGCTCTGACAGCTACAGGCTTAGTGCGCCCTGGAACCGTATTATTAAGTAATTGCACAACAGGCGGGTTCTTTCGTCTCGCCGCAGACTTTGATATGGCGGCGAAGGTCAGAACCACTTCTGGCACCAGTTGTTGTGTGCTAAATGACGACGCAGAGGCAGGTATTCAAGTAAGGGCTTGCGCTGGTTTATTAACAAGGGTTGGTGACAACTTCCACCAGAGGTAGGTGCCCTACACTGGGTCCTTCACGTGGACCCTCGGCTCTGTCTGTCCCTAGCCTCGGCTAGCTCCAGGGCTCTCTCCCTCAAGTCGGATAGGGGGTTCAGCCAACACCGACCGACCGAGGAGAGCAGCACCTTCTACGACTACCGCCGGCTTCTCTCTCCAGACTGCCAGAGCTCCACCCCTGGCGGTCTCTTCAACCGCTCTCCATCCCGGGCTCCCACAACGACCCCGCTTTCGTCACAGTGCCCCCCTTAAGTACCCCGAGGTGACATGACGTCATCGCACCGCACAGCGCGTATGACGTCACGTCTCCATACTACTCCTCTACGATTGTAAGATGAGGAGATCGAGAGGAAGGCAGAAGTAGAGGCGGGGCGAGGACAGTGGACCCCACATGAGTGGGACAAACACGTGGAAGAAGAAGAATACATCTTATAATTACAATCCCTTAACAGAGGAAACATACTAATTAACTGATTAGTAATCTATTATATAATTACTGCTTGTGTTGTGGTTATTGCAAACATGATGCCTTGTATAAAGGTGTCAGTTTTGTACCAGTTTAAAGGGTAAAAACCTACTACTATGATCCCTTGTATAAAGGTGTCAGTTTTTTGTACCAGTTGAAAGGGTAAAAACCTATTACTACATTTTGCCACTGGTAAAGGAGGTCACCATAGTGTCTTATGGTTGTCATTGTTGACTTGCACCACGTTGAGATTTTTGCACACAGCGTTTTAATACTTTTATTAAATATTTGCTGGTTTATTCCAGGATGTTTCTGTTACGCGTCGTCGCTTTAAGATGTTCTGTGTTCATATTTAGTTTGTTGCGGTTGCACCCGACTTAAGAGCCGCGTGGCTCACAGGGCTATACCTAATACATGAACTTGAACTTGGACACTAACGCGGACTGACAAGCGTGGTGAAGTATGGTCAAACATTCATCCAGCAGTGGATTGACAACCGGCACCCAAACTAATCATGGGCAGTTCTCACGGCCCGAGGGGCAAGGTCCAAGATCGTAAACTCGCCACTGACGTTCGCCGTGCCCCGGTGACGTATTCTGGTCGGGGGGTTTGCCACGCAGTGCGCAGGAGGAATCCGAAGAGGTATGAAGCTCTTTGACACACAGATGTCCAGTAGGGGGCACGGGGTCAGAAGTTTACAACAATAACAACAACACGATAGGAGTGCAAAGTATAGGAAAGGTAAAGAAATCACGAAATATAAATACAAATACAACTAAACTATTCTTTTCATCTTATCAGTTAAAGCCCAACTAAGCTATTAACGTTTCTTTCAGAAGCGACCTGGTCACAAATGATAGCTCAACAAAGTGGCTTATCATGTGTAAATGTGTAGCAGAATAAGTAATCTAAACAATCTCAATGCATATTGTTGGTTCTTTCGGAAATAATAAAAATAAAACAATAAAATTCTCACGACGTTTCGATTGCAACACAAGCAATCATCATCAGGTGTCAAAACCACAGCAAGAAAAACAATTAAAATCACAGCAATAATTTTTTTTAATTTCTTGCTGTGGTTTTCACACCTGATGATGATTGCTTGTGTTGCAATCGAAACGTCGTGATAATTTTATTGTTTTATTTTTGTTATTTAATTACTTCCCTTCTACGTGTCTTCACCGAAAGAACCAACAATATGTACATGTAATGTACAGCAGAAAAATAATCTAAACAATCTCAATGCACGTTTACTCACCCGTGTGTGTGTTGCTGACGTCAGATGAGTCGCACCACGATACAGCCGCTTCGCAACTGCGTTATTGACGTAAGTGCTGTCAGCACACGATGACAGTGGGTGGCCAACAGCACGCCCGGCCGCCTTTGTCTCCCCAGTGGCCGCTGACACCACCACAGTCACCGCCGCTGCTGCTGCTGCTCGTCTCGTCAATGACAACTCCGGGAAGTTCCCCGCGCTCAGTTGAGAAGCGTGCGTCACTTTTGGGAAACGTCTCGGGCTCAGCCAATCACAGCGCCCCATTTTGCCTCGGTAGTGGGTTGGGTGGAGGGCAGCCCCTGGCGCAAGAAGTCGCAGCCAATCAGAAGGCCGCGCAAAGGGTGCGGGGGGGGGTTGTGTGCAATCCCCCCCCCCCACCGTGCTAGTAGCCAATCAGAGCACGAGGTCGCGTCCCCATGGTGGGGGGGAGGGGTGCAGCCCTCGTGCTAGTAGCCAATCAGAGAGCGAGGTCGCGTCCTCGCAGGTGGGGGGGGCGAGGCGTAACCCCTAGCAACTGATTTGACTGAGGAGGGGTCAGAGTGAGATTGTTTCTCACAGATGGTCCAGATAAGTTTTGTTTTTAAAAAACGTAATTGTTTTTCAGAGTACCCACAGGGTCACGCGGGCCCAGCAACAAACTGCACTGTCAAATTGACGGATGGCACTACTGTGTGTACTGTACTGTATATTGAACTTCTTTCGCACCGTACGTAGCCAACCGTGCGAATAAAGCAAATGTTTTAGAGTAAAATATACCCGTACAGTGGTCGGAGACGATTTATAAAAGTGAGTTAGCTGGCTTGGGCAGGATTCGTTCCTATAGGGCAGTGGTTCGTATAACCGTCACTGCAGCCTTGCAACCACTTTGGTTCTGAATCATAAAAAAAAAAATTATAATGTGAATTACTACATAGGTCTGATTAAACAAAGAAAGTTGTCACTTAATTTGTGTTTTCGATTATATTATTTACCTTCTAAAAACAATCTGGTCATGTCGCGCGCACCCCCCAGTGGACCCCCCCCAGTGCCCCCCCCCCCAGTGCCCCCCCCCCCCCCAGTGGGCCCCCCCCCCCCAGTGCCCCCCCCCCCAGTGGGCCCCCCCCCAGTGCCCCCCCCCAGTGCCCCCCCCCCCAGTGGGCCCCCCCCAGTGCCCCCCTCAGGTTAAGAGCCGCTGCTGTAGGGGATGAACAACACCGCAGAGGTAATGAAAACGGACAAAGTCCACACAAGTTGAAAGCTCCTCACTTCTTTACGACTGCTTCTTGTGCTGAGTTTGTTGTGTTTTTCCCCGCCCCTCCAATCAGCGCGCGGTTGGCTACGTACGGCGCAAACGAAGTTCAACATGCTACTCTATACACTACACTAACAGCACACGCTACAATCTTGATGTGAAGCTTTCGTGACTGCATGAATCCATACTCTTTGGTTCTTTCGGTAAAGTCACGTAGGTAGAAAAATAATCGATCACGACGTTTCGATCGCAACACAAGCAAGTGCTGTGGTTGCCTGCGTTGCGATCGAAACGTCGTGATCGATTATTCTTCCACCTAAGGGGCCGTCCATAAATGACGTCACGCGATTATGGACGATTTTTGACCCCCCCCCCCCCATCGTCACACGGCGTCACAAAAAGTTAGACCCCCCTCAAATATGACGTCACAAAGCTCTGCCCCCCCAAAAAATAAAACATGCTACAAATCGCTTTAAACTATTGTCATTGTAGCGCGTATTTATTGTGCCGCTGCACTCTGATATTGTAGGAGAAAACATTTATTTAAATGTATATTTAATTAAGTAGAACGTGTTGTCTATATTTATTTAAAGTTGCGCATTTTGATGTGAAGTCACATTTCCCCAGGTGCGTGACGTCATTTATGAACGCACCCTAATAGCTCAACAAAGTGTTTTTTTTGTGGAAATTATTTGTAGCTAAATAATATTAATAATAATACTGATGGGTGGAGAGAGGCGGGCGTGGGGAAATTATTTTCGAAACTAAACGTGTTTCCGTCTAATATTCGTAAATTATTTAACTTCAATTTTTTTTTATACAAATCTCAAGTCAGTGACATCATTGTTTGGACTTTACCATTCGAATACAACCAGAAGGGGTGACAACAATTGTAGGTTAATTTAATTCCACCGTTTTCTTACTATTTTTCCACATAGAGATATTTTTCGACTTATTATAACAATTTAGTCGTAAGTTTAATATCGTACTTCCCGTTATTAAACGTATTTGTTATACACACAAGAACAATAACAAAGATATAAAAGCACATTCTACCTATATTTGTGGTACAGCCCAAAATAAACGCACTTGCAAATACTTTTACATTTCGTACAACTCACAGGCAGAACCTCTCCCGCTATTGGTCAATCCGCGCGCGTGCCCTTCACTCTGAGCCAATCGGAGGGCGGCGCATGCCTATCCGATGTACGGATTGTGGACGGAGGCGAGCCGGGTTATTGTTGTTGTTGAAGATCGCGTTTATGAACATTAAGAAACAGCGCGGCAACTGGTAATTTATGTTACATTCTCTCTCATCACCTTCCCTTGCAAATACCGCGGAGTTTACCACCGCAGGCTGCTGTTAGAAATGTTTCCTGCCGATTAAAATCGTGCGTGCATTCGCCTCATCGGCTCTGCTGCACCACCGTCAACCACTGTCGATGTTTTATCACATTTTACACTTTAAAACAAAAATTCGTAAGTCTCAATTGTGTTCACATGCGTGCTGTTTTGTTTGCACGCCGGAGTGCCGTATCGGCGCGTCAACAATTATTGTTTTACCTCAAAAGGTCGATGAATCGTCGGTGCAGGTACGGACAACATTGATGGACGTCCTCGTCATGGTAACGTGGAATGTCCACCGCTGGTTTCAAGGCCGGCGGTGGAGATGAGCGGGGTGACGTTGCAGGAGGAATCCTATGAGCTACCAAGCTCTTTGTCTCACAGATGTTCAGTCGGGGCACAGAGTTAGAACGTTACAACAAACAAAAATAACAAACACTTCAGGAGTGCAAGTATAGGCAAGGTAGACACATCACTTAAAAATACATAACAATACAAACTTTTATTCTACCATGTAATGTGTGGATTAAATGCTTAATTGTTAGTCATCAGTGCGCATCGTAAACAATGATCAGTAATTTGGGATTTAGCTTTGGCTCTGGCATCGTTAATCTTTATAGTTTTTGCTCGTACATTGGTTATGATTGCTCAGGTCAAAGTTCATTCCATTTGTGTCCTTATTAGTGCAGATCATTGGCACAACCACCGATAATAATATTAGCAAGATGCTGTTAATGATAAAATAGCATTAGTCACGGCCAATATCAATATCTTCAGTATAATTCGATCATCGCCATCATCAATGAGCATTGCTACAACCGCTGATGTCATGATGGTTTTGTGTAACAACATCAATAATCTTCACACTACACGCCTGTGTTTTCCGTATCTTGTCCGCCACGTAAAAATATAACAGTGTTTTTCTCCACATCGCATCAGCCACATGCCCTACTGGGACCCAGTCCATTGTTTTCAGCTGCTTTGCTTTACTCTTTGGCTCTTTCGGTAAAGTCTCGTATGTATAAAATAAAATAAACCACGACGTTTCGATTGCAACACAAGCAATCATCATCAGCTGGGCGTATATAACCTCTTACCACGGCATCTCTCTCCCACTTCAGCAGGAAAAAACATTTCTTGCTGTGGTTTTCCCACCTGATGACGATTGCTTGTGTTGCAATTGAAACTTCGTGATTTATTTGATTTTCTACCTACGTGACTTTACCGAAAGAACCAAAGAGTATGGATTCCTGCAGTCACGAAAGCTTCAAATCTAGATCACATTGCTTTAATGCTGCTATACAAGCAAAACTATGGACCGGTTTTTATATTAAGCCTTGAATCGTTTCTGGCGAACTTCCAGATATTAATAGACAACAAGGGCCCTCTTCTTTTAGACGAGGACCCTATATGGATCCGATAAACATCTGACAATTGACAGCACAATTTGAATAATCACCGTTACTAATCACTGCCACGACCGCTGTTGATATCATCTGATCGCACCTGTGATGTCTATTGGTAATTTTATCAGAATTTGCATCGACTATCGCTATTGTGGGCACCTTAAAGGTGTAGGGGTGTTAAAGAGAGGGCCCGTTATGCATGGCAGCCTATGGAAAACAAACACAGTGGGCGGGGCTACGTAAGTGCACGAGGAGGTGCCCTCTACGACGTCCGAGCCAGACACCCTGGGGGGGGCTGGTTCGAACGTTATGATCCCTCGGGGCCCCACCCCTCAGGGAGGGGTTGGGTATAAAAGGGGATGTTCAAAGGGCTCGAGTCAGTTATGTTTAAGCTAAGGGAAGAAGACTGAAGACGTCTTAGATAGAGCCCTGGACTCCCCTAGTTCGATGTCCTTTTCAGGGCCGGACAGGACTGAGCCAGCGGCGTGGTCCCGAAAGCCAGAGCCGGTGCTCTTGTAAGAGCTGGTCTGGAACTCCGGGTACCGGGCCCGACTTACCAGTGTCGGGCCAGTTAGCCTCCCCTAGCCCATTAGTGGAGGATTCGGGGCTAGGACAGAGTTAGCTAGGGGTGTATCCCGAGTTATACGGGTGAGGGGGCCGATACCCCCTCGAGTGTGTATATGCCCACTGTCGTATTGTGAATTAAATATACGTGTGCCTCAACCTCGGCGTCAAGCGTCTTCACCGGTACTTCAACTGGTGTCAGAAGTAATTCGAACATGGACACGCGGAAAACAGCGCGGGCAAAAGTACCGCAGGAGGAAGACACTGCCGAGATCGTCGAGCCCGAGACGGCTCCACAAGACATGGTGCAGCCGGGGCCTGACGCCACCTTACCGGGGCATCGAAATGAAGAGGGGCCGCAGTCAGACGCGTTACGGCTGGCTCACGGGAGGCTGACGGAGCTGCTGTATGCCGCTGCCGCCACGCTGGAGACCATCACGCGATTGGGGGCCGGTGATCCAACACGGGGCGAAGCGAGCCAACGACCAGGGCGCCTTCCCGCCATTTCGGAGCAGTCCGAATTTGAAATTCCCGCCATCGACGCTACAGCTGTTCAGGGCGTGGCCAGCCTGAACATCCGCTCCGACATCGCCGTCGCTGGAGCTGCAGCGTCATCACCGCCGGAGGGTGCGTCATCACAACCCCGACAGGCGATCCCATCGGCCGTTCGCACCGACGCACAGCCGAGTGGTGGTGACATCTGCCTGCGGGAGTCTACAACAACCGCTGCGCTTCATCAGAGACTGCCCCCGCTGAAGGAGTTCATCGGCGCGGAGGGAGACTGGGCCGGGTTTCGCCGACGTTTCCTCGCCCATCAGGAGATGGCGAAATGGTCCGATGAGGAGGCTCTCTGCGCGCTGCCGGCGCTCCTCGACGGCGACGCGCTCGCCGCACTCACATCGGCGCCGAGAGAGAAGCGGTCTACGTTACCGATGGCGCTACAGCTGCTGGGCGGGGTCTATGGACCATCAGCCGAATGCCGACAGCAATTTTACGACCGCAAGCGGGGTGAGAAGGAGTCGCCCCTAGCATACCGGACGAGCCTCCTGGCGATGGCTAAGTCGGCCTTCCCTCGTATGGACGACGACGGCGTGGATGCTATGGTCACGGAGAAAATCCTCCTCCTGGCAGACGACCTGGACATCGCTGTCGTCGCGCAGGAGGACGCGGAAATGACATCGCTCCAGGCGGCGCGGCTCCTCCACACAAACCTCCTGTCGCTCCGGCGGAAAGCCAGCAGGGCATCGGCGGGGCGTGCGGTGGCTGCAGCCACCCTTCCGACGGAGGAGCTCTACGCCGTCGACCACCGACGGCAACAGGCGACGGGAGCACGGTCGGGCCAGGACGGGTCGGGCCGTTCCGACCATCCGTCACCTCCGACGGCGCGCCCGCGGTGGTTTAACTGCGGCGTCCGGGGCCACGTCGCCTCGGGGTGCCGCTCTCCTCGTCAGCGCGGGACGACACCTCAACGGGACGACGGGCCTCATCACAAGCTCCACCATCATAACCCGGCGAGTCGCGGCACCCCACATGTTTGGCCCACGCACACGCCCGTCACGCACTCAAACACCGCAACGAGAGGGGGGCCGATATCGCGCACCATCGCACCATCACGCACCACTCTGGGTACTCATAGCGAACCCGGCCAGTGGTCCGTGCTGGCCGATCGTGTGGTAGCCGCATCGTCGGGGTCGTCGGCCGTTGTGGGGCACATCGACGGGGTTGAAGTGCGCATCCTGGTCGATACGGGAGCATCGGCGACCATTATTTCGGAGTTAATATACAATATTCTCCCTGTCCAGAGCCGTCCTTTGATGCCTATTAACGTACCATTCTATGCGGCTAACGGGGGCTCACTTGGCATCATCGGACAAATTCGGGCCCAAATTTGTGTTGGGGAAATTAAATTGTCTGGGCCGATTTTTGTTTCCTCCTCGCTGGCGGTTCCGTGCCTGCTGGGGACGGACTTCCTGGCCAAAATGCCGATTAGGATATTAATCGACCAGGGATGCATTGAGCTCCCGTCGGGCAGATGCATGGCGTTTTTGCCATCACCCGTTACGACTCGGACGGCGTTCGCGACGGTGCCGGCATTCGTAGAGAGAACGGTGCGCGTCCCTCCGGGGGCACAAATGTTGATTCCCTTGAAACTTCGCCGACCCTTCGCTAAGGGTATTGCGGCCCAAGGGGTTCTGCTGGGGCCGTCTAGGGCCGGGGTTAGTGGACCTCATTTACTTCCGGCCCAGACCATAGTAAGAGGGGACGGTGAACCCTTCATCGCGGTCCTCAATGTGGGCTCGCAGACGGTGGTGGTCCCACAGGGAACCGTGCTTGCTCACGCAACGCCGGTGCCATGTGAGGAAACCGTCGCAAATCACGTCAGCGTTGTCCCTGCGCCGCGACCGCATTCGGACAGCGATGAAGGGTGGCTCGAGGCGCTTTGTGCGGGATCGACGGACCTGTCAGATTCAGAGCGTCAACAACTTAAAACACTACTGCGGGAATTTTCCGACGTTTTTAGTTGGAATAAATACGATTTGGGTTGTACTCACCTGCTGCGTCACCATATTGACACGGGTGACAGCGCGCCAATTCGCCAAAATCCGTTTCGGTTGAGTCCCGCCGAAAAGGACCATGTCAAATCGGCTATTGATGACATGTTGGCCGCCGACATCATTTCTCCTTCCACCAGCCCTTGGGGAGCGCCGATCGTCCTGGTTAAAAAGCAGGACGGATCGTTGCGGTTTTGCGTTGATTTTCGGCGCCTTAACAAAATTTCGGTTGCCGACGCATACCCGCTCCCTCGGATGGATGAATCGCTGGACGCCTTGGCGGGGGCGCGATTCTTTTCCACACTCGATTTACTTTCGGGATTCTGGCAGCTTCCTCTGGACGATGATTCAAAGCCTAAAACTGCTTTCCGTACACCGCACGGCCTGTTCCAATTCAACCGGTTGCCGATGGGCTTACACTCAGC